AAAAAAAAAAAAAAAAAAACATCTCAGCCATGGTCCAGATAGGGATATGTTGTAACGCAAGTATTGCGCCGCCATCTGACTCGCTCAAAGAAAAACAGATGTATAGTATAGTGAAAATACTGCCATATATGCTGGTTGTTGCAAGCCTAATAAATCTACTTGCCTTACAGATGCCTCTCCAGGATTGTGTAAACTCGACGGCTTGGACAAAAAGGTTGTGCATTTTGCGGGTCCCTACCGTATTCCTTTCAGAATGACTGCACGCACCAAGCTCACAACACTCAGTCTGTAACTCGGATGAGTCCCGCATGAGGACGCAAACAAAACTTGGACAACTCAGACTCCCTGATCATCATGGGCCGTGGAAACTACCGCTACGTGATCCGTATGTTGTCCCCAAAATCGCCATAGATCCTTGGGCTCTGCGGGAGCGAGGGCTGGATGCACTGCACAGGCAGCGGCCTTCAGCAGCGTAAGTAAAGCCGATGCTCCTCTCAAGAACCAGAAAAAAAGCCACGCAGTCAGGCCTCCAAATTGAATCCTGATGCTGGTATCATGCTTGATACTGCTATTGCAAACAGCAAGCATGACAAAGCGTGCAAATACTGTGGTTTCGCGAAGTGTGTATGTCAGAAATGTGCAGCCACTTCGCAGGATACCAAACGCAGCCGTGTCCTTGCAGCTGCAAGAAGCTGCATGTCGCCCCATTCGCCTTACAAGGTACATCTGCATCATGAGTCTCTGCACTCCCGCCCCGCCAGCGGCTTGCTTCGCACAGCTACTCTGGGCAGCCTTTTCCTTCTTCCCTCAGTTGACTTTCAGTTGCAAGTAAGCACTTCCGGTCTCAAGACTCTCTTCGGAGTCTGAGGCGAAGAACCAAAGCTTAAAGGGGCCCAAGCCCCAGGCCCCGCCAACGCTCGCAAGAGGCGGGCGGCGAAGTTGGCAGCATGCAGAAGCTTTTGCGTTAGTCTTCCGAAGCTACTGTATCAGGAGCCGTCGCTCCAGGGACCGCAGTTCTTGGTGACATGGGTACAGCCCGCCCAACGGTCCGACATGTCTCTGCCTTGCGCTTCCTGTTCACGCATCCAAGCACCGCACCCCAGACAGTATTCCTTGCAGGCACTTTCATGGACGCTGTCGCAGAAGGACAGGCTGTCCTTTTCCTCCTGAGTGTATGACACGTTCCCCCAGCATCCTTGAAGACATACGAGGCAGAACCCAGGACCCAAGCATAGCCGCAAGAAGTTGCATCATCATGGCCCGCATCGTCGGAGTCACTCAGGGGAGAACACTGCAACTGTTGGGGCTACCGTCCTGCTGCGAAGCCGAAGTCAAAGACAGAAGTCCCATGATCTTACAACAACAGGCTGAAACACAGAACCTCAAGGGTGACTTTGGGATCAGAGACCGAGCCTTCTAAGCCTTCAGCGGTGTTACTTCAGGGGCAATGCAAAATGATGCAATCCCTTTTTTCTGTGCCGGCGCTAAGGCTAACAGGCACCTCAGTCGCACGTGTAAGGCAGTTGCACACTGCGCCGTCAAGGGCATGTCAGTACCTCCAGTGTGCTCGTGCACACGAAGGCTGGTAAACAGCGAAACTGCGTGAAAGACTTGACTGGCATGCTACGGACAAGCGCAGATCTAAAGCAATCTGCCGGCGGCCAACACCGCCGACTTCATTTCGACGAAATTCTGCGCGGACGATCGCGCATGATCTAAGCAGAAACC